GCACCCGGCCCGCACCCAGTGCGTTTTTTTTTTGCAAGGGGGGTGGTGAAAGGGTAAACGTAGCGCTGCCCGTCCACAAGTACGGAGCAGCATCCCCAGCTGGGGCTGCGCGCCAATTGCCCTCTACCTGAAAGGGCAGGATGGATGTGTCTAAGGGTTGCAATTGCGTAGTGCGAGTGTCGGCAAGCCTATCTCTGCTTATCCCTGGCGGCAGGGTGTCTGGCAAGAAAAACTGCGAACGCGGGATTCGATGGAGCCTGGTCAGATTGAAAACTGCCCCTGGCTCACGCGGGGTGGAAATGACCCACGTGTCCAAAAGTTGGTCTTCTCCCTCAATGCTGCAAAAACGATTGTTTACCCCACCAGGGAGACCTTGCAAAAAGCAGCGAATGACTTGGCCATGAAGCTGATGGGCTGGGGTAGAGACATCCACTGCATGCCCATTGATCCTGACTTCTCGCAAATGACGGTGGGAAGTGCCAACATACTCACTGGCAATAGCCCAAACTGTGGAGCTGGAGTCGACAGCAAACTCGACAGTGGTTTCTCCTGCGATACCTATGCACACAACGCACTGCTGCGGCAGGTCATCTGAACAGTTGGGGCGGGCCGTCACACGCCAGACGTCACCTAGGTTCGCACCGGTCACGGGAGCATCGGCACTCACAAGAGATGTCAAGTTTTGGGTATGCTCAGGTGCCGGGGACACAGGGTCCCTGAGGATGTATTCAATGGGCTGGCCCTCGACGGAAAAAGAGGCGATATGCTTGGCAATCAACTGGCCACAGAGTTCTGACGCTTGATTCCCCAGCCACATTCCAACCTAGTCCCACACGGGGACATGGGCCGCTACATCGAGGATGCTGTCTGGTTTGTTCGCACTGATGATGAGGAGCTGACACCTTCTGTCAAAGTCAGTTTTGGCAAGATGCTCTGTCTCATGAGTCGGCTCAGGGGAATCCAAAACTAAACACGTCCATTTCAGAGTCAAAAGCCGTGGACGGGTCAGGTCGTTCAGATGGCACAGACAAAGGTGCCTCTTGATGCAAACACTCTGGCTGGTGTTCAGGTGAACTGCTTTGGAGAGGAAAAAGAATGTCCTCATTGACCTTTGGCGTGAATGGCAAAGTCGGGGTCACAAGGTCGGATGGACGAGCTAGTATCAACCAGTCATCACGAACTTCCAATTTGCTATTATACCGGTCAAGCCTCTGGATCAGAACCTCAGCAATGCACATTTGCGGGTCAGCCGAACGGGCCGACTTCAGGCGACCTGTGATTTGCGTAGCCGCTGCAAGGCATAATGCTGCATGTGGAACAGCAATTGCATTTCCTATGATCTTCATCGCATCCAAAGCTGCCAGAGGCAGTACAAGGAAATCACGAACGATTAAAGGCAGTGCATGCTCAATTGCGGCAAGAAAACGAAACCCCATTGGGGAGGAGTCCGGCAACAGCTGACCATGAAGTCCTTTCTGACGCAACAGGTCATGAGAAAACTGGTGGGCCCTCATGTACGAGGCCATGGCAGTGTGCAGCTTATTGTCAGAGTAGACGGACCTGTTTCGGATGCTCCAAGACCTTCTACGGGGTCCGTATTCGAGGTTGGCACACAAGTCACGAGTGCATTGATCAAGACTCGACTGATGCAGCACTGCTTCAGGCAACGTGAATGGCAGGGCCTGATGGATTTTGAAGGCGAGGGGTTTCAAGGCCATCCAAGTGATAGGCGTCCTGACAGCAAAATCACCTGGCACAGTTGCATCAACCATGAGGGCTAACCAACGTGGCCGCGAGGTGCGTGAGACCTCGTCCAAGGATGCAGCCGGCATTTCCCAGAGGAAACGACAATGGCAACTCTCAAGCAGCGTGGCAATGTCAGGCCAATCTGCACTTAAGAAAGCCCACACTCCTCTTTTCTTATGCAAATGGGGGTCGGTGAAAGTCGCTTGGCATGAAGCGATTCACGCGGATCCACACTGACTGTGTTTCACGCAAGTAGGGCGCACTGCCGAGGATTCACGAATGCTGCACGGCTGGCACGCGATCAGCGCGGCCAGTTTCACACACGGTTATTTACTGCAAACCCACTGCAAACCCCGAGACAAAGGAGCGGCTGCTCATGTCTGCAAGAATTTGCGCCGTGAGACGCGCACAAGCAGGGGCGGGCGGGCGGGAAAAAGCAATCGGCAATCAACAAAATTACCGAAAGCACCCACCCACCCACCCTAGGGCCAAATGTTGCACACTCAAGTTTTCAAGATCAAGCTGTTGTTTGCACAAACGTGTGTGTTTGTGAAATACCTATTTCACAAACAGGAGGGGGGGGGTTGGCTCCTTCCCTAAAGCGTTATCAAGTTTTGACAACTTGCTTAGGTCTTGAGCCAAACCCCCCCCAACACACACGACACTGTTTCCAAGCCGACCTGCAACACCGCCTGCACTTAAGAAAGCCCACACTCCTCTTTTCTTATGCAAATGGGGGTCGGTGAAAGTCGCTTGGCATGAAGCGATTCATGCGGATCCACACTGACTATATTTCACGCAAGTAGGGTGCACTGCCAAGGATTCACGAATGCTGCACGGCTGGCACGCGATCAGCGCGGCCAGTTTCACACACGGTTATTTACTGCAAACCCCATCTTATCCGATTTGTGGAATGGTTTTCTCAATCACACCGTTTCATCACACCTCCTTACCCAAGCGATGTCAGATGCCTAATCACATCTCTGAAGGTCAGTCATCTGGGTTCGAAGGTGAGGCCACTGGAGCGCGCCAAAAAGTTAAGGCAATACAACCTTTCAAAGCACGCATCTGTGAAAGCATACCAAGGGACTCCAAAAATACGCACCAGCCGGCTGGGCTGCCCACGGAACATCTGATCGTGAGTTTCTGAAGTGCCAGTGTCAATTTTGTGCCATTGCGAGCTCACTGTCAGCGAAGCGTGCGTACTCACCTCCCTAAGGCGCAACATGCTGGCTTGCCCCACACCTGCCGCCGGCAAATTTCATCCGCCACGCAATTTCTAAGCATGTGGTTACTTGAGGTGCCAACCGCTAAGCAGAAATCTAATTCTCCACAAGGCTCAACCTAGCGCTTGGACGCGTTGTCAGAAGGCTTTCCGAACCTCTCAAGTCATCTTGAAGGCCGAGACCTGGTATTAGGTATCAAACTGTCCATCTAGCGCCAGAGTCGCGTAACCCCCCACCAACAAGCCAAAAGAGTCTCAACACACGGACTAGTGCTCACGGCTTCAGGCGACCGGCAAACAGGTGATGAAGTCGTCGAAGAAGTTGACCCACACCAAATCAGAGCAAGCGACCCCAACCACAAACATGAAGGTGAGGCGCCCAAGAACACATGCAAGCACGAGACGCCCGAAGGCACTGCAACTAGACTGTAAACCACAAATATCCAAAGAAGGGGGCGATACACCGCAATGGTCAAATTTCCCGGCTCAAAAGAAACCCTGCCTGACGGTACGCACATAGCGCACCGGTAGAGCGGTCACAGTTTGGCAGCAATCGCGACCACCGGCCGCCACCATAACTGTGGTACGATGTTTGGGCGAGTCACACGCATGCACTGTGCTGTTCACTCCACTGCCGCTGAATCAACCTACCTTGCTTTCCCTGTACACCTCATCATCAGGCTCTGGCGAACCTGACTAGCGCGCGCTGTCAAATTTCCACATTGCTTGCACCGGCTGCCGGCTTGAAGGAGGCACCTGACCAAACCAGCCCTCGAGTTCAGTGAGCGACAACCACTATCACACACCCCATGCGTGGGTATCCAAGAGCAACTGTTTGGTTTCCAAAGTTGGCCAACTCCGAGAGCATTTCCGCTTATAGCTGGGGCTGACTTAGCTTGTTCCGCCCATACTTGAACAAGCCGGCTCGTTGTTGAGCAAGGTGTGCAGGAGGCGTCGAACAACTGTCACAATCATCACTAAAAGGCTTGGTGAGCATGCGAGATGGCTTTGGGATGCCCAGCCAACACAGCTTGTGTTACCGACTCTGCCTCTGACATCGACTCTTCCTAGGCACACTGTGGGTGAAAGGCTGATCGAAGAGAATTGGCGTCGCAGAACGGCTTAGAGTCACTGACCGGGCCCAGGAGGTGTTGAGCACGGTGCGTCACAAGCCCACGCCAAGGCAGGAGGTGTTGAGCGCAGTGTGTCACAAGCATCACGCCAAGGCCTAGGTACAACTCTTCCACGGCACCCGCGCGGTGTGTCCAGTGAGTCCCAAGCATTACGCCAAGGCCTAGGTACAAACTCATCCTCTGACCACGGCACCCCCACACCGCCGCCTCACTAGGCACCTGTCGGTGAGAGGATGATTCCAGCGATTTTCTTGCGTCACAGAATCTGCTTGAGTCACTGCTCAAGCAACATGCAACAAGTATTGAGTCACTGCCCGACACAACATGCAACATTAGTCGCTGCCCGATGCAACATGCCACAAAATCTGCTTGAGTCACTGCCCGATGCAACATGCGACACGCGACAAGTATTGAGTCACTGCCCGATACAACATGCAACATTAGTCGCTGCCCGACGCAACCTGCCACGAAATCTACTTGAGTCGCTGCCCGCTGCAACATGCGACATAAGTCACTGCCCGATGCAACACGCCATATTTATTGAGTCACGGCCCTATTGAGTCACTGCCCGACACAACATGCAACAGTAGTCACTGCCCGATGCAACATGCCACACAATCTGCTTGAGTCACTGCCCGATGCAACATGCAACATAAGTAACTGCCCGATGCAACATGCCACATTTATTGAGTCACGGCCCGATGCAATCTGCTTGAGTCACTGCTCGATGCAACCTGCAACAATTATTGAGTCACTGCCCGATACAACATGCAACATTAGTCACTTGCAAACTTCTCTCCCAATGGTCCTGCCCGACGCAACATTCAACCTTAATCTCCCTATTTATCCGTAATAGCTGGTGAGTGTCACAGGCACCTGCAGGCACGGTGAGCATGTCATGCGACGGTGTCCAAGGTGGCATGCTTCGCTCCTCGGGGCTCGAGGCGAGTCACCCATGCTGCGCACACGACAATGGTCGCTTGGTGCTCAAGCACCGGAGGTGGCAGCTTAGATGCTTTTGTCTGGATCCGGATGTAGCTCGCGTCAAGATCAGCGACACGTCCGGCTGCTGGTCCAGCAGTCGCGCTGCTGGTGTAATCCAACTTTGCGTACGCCGGAAATGCCATTTGGGAATTTTGTTGAGTGCAACTTAGTTGTCCTTCAAAGGAATCTCCTTAGCACGGCAGGCTGTCCCACATGGAGGTGCGCACACAAGCAGCTTTGAAGCCAATTCACTCACTTCGCTGCGCTTCTTGTATTGGCAAGTCAGTCAACTTAACAGCACCTGCAGGGTTGGCTAAATTGCGCTCGACAGCAAAGTGATTGGTTAACTCTGCGGCTTCAGCAAGCGGTAACACTTGCGGAACCCGCAAACACTTCGAGCGTCGAAGGATTTGTCCCTTATACTTGAATAATTGTTTCGCGCACGTGCTGAAACATGGCGGTCAACTCCGGCTCCCGCAGGAATAAAAGGGCACACTTGTTACTGGAGTACAGGAGTAAGGCGTTCTACCCGGCTCACAATCTGGTATCTTGAGGGCCCCCGGCTGCAACCCTAGACAGGAACATGCGAAACCAAAGCACTGGCCTTGGGCGGTTGTGGGCCCAGCTGGTGCTGGCTCAAGATCACCCTTAGAGTCAGCGGTCAAATTGGTATCCAACACGTCGTGAAGTTGTACCTTATTCACAAGGTTTGCTTCCGAGGCCTCGTCATCAATGGCCTCACCGTTGTTGTGTTAAGCCGTCTCACTTTTGCTCCGGTTAGTCAGTAGCCGTGTTTTGCCAAACTGTGCGCCTGGAACACTTGGCACAAACATGCAAACCCCTACTGCACGACGCTTCATCTGCTGCATGGTCGTAATTGTTCAAGTTGTAGTTGAAACAGATGGCTTCCCTTGTAGGCAACAACGCAACTCCACCCGCCTTGCGGATGTCCTTTAGGCCGCGACTATCCTTGCTTTTGCCAGTCTTTCCAATGGATCCTTTGCCTTTGCCATAAGGCTGGAGCCTTGAGCCCTTACCTTTCTCAGGAGCTGGCTTGTCTGCAGCCGCCAGAGTCTGAGCTTCGAGAAAAAGCCTCCATGCACTTACCACACATCCGCTGCTGGCCCCCACATCAATATTTGCACGGACCCAGTCGGAAAATTCATTGGCGTTGATGGCCTGCCCAGCATGCCCAAAACTGTGAGCCAAGGCGCCCAAACTGGCAACGCCAGAGTTCACCAACGACTCCACCTGCGGCGCAGTCAGCCCGACATCTAGCGCTTTCTTTCTGAAATTGGCTGCACTGTCCACAATGCTGGTCATGGCGATCCGTGACCAACAAACTGCAACGTCAGTGAACCAACGTGCCACATGAACCAAGTTACAAATCTCTCAAACGATGCAAATAAAACATGTGTGAGTCACATTCAGCTTGAGCCACGCACTCCGGAAAAACAACATTAAGGCACATCACCTGCCTTCCATATCATTCACATCACATGAGCCAGTTACATCCGGCCGGCCATTTTCACCCTAGCAGACATCCTGCTTGGCCGTTCTCATGCATGCGGGTTACACCACCCTAGCCGGTACATATCGGCTGACAGCAACATCTGCTGTGTTCACATCTGGCTCAAATGGATTTTGCCTCAGGGCAGTCGAGAGAGGGCATTCCTCTCCGCACCTTGATCCATTTTCACCTAGGCTTCATTAAGCCTTTTGCCACATTTCAAAAGAGAGTTGAAATCATGAACCCATCAAGGTTCTGCCGTTTGGCATTCAGAATCCCAAACGTGACAGGCGTACCATTCTTCAGCAGCACGCTGAGCCTGCGCATACTTCCGCACCTTCATAGGTGGGCCTGTTGACAGGATTCATATGACTCAGCTTCGGACGAAGAGCCGTTGCAGAGCTAGAAGGATTTCCCTCGAGCCCGGGACATGCACAAAACCCGGCTCTTCAACCAGCTCCGGCTTCATGTCAGGCTCACCATCTACCACCACCACATTCGCGGGCCGGCCTTGAGACCGAGCACGGAAATACTCACCTCTCTTGGCATCTGGTACGACGGTCTTGGCATGAGTGTCAAATGACCTTCTGCAACGATCTGGTGGAAGCCACAGCTAATTCACGAGAATACAAAGCAAATGTCTCGTGAGTCGATCTAGCATGTTTGCAAAACATAGACCGTTCATCAAGGGACAAGCCAAGTCGGCGGCCCAGCTTAAAGAGAGCACTTCAGGCTATGTGAAGACAGTCTGTCCTCTCCCTCCTTCTGTTCATCCCCTCCTGGAGGGCCCGGAGGAACCTAAATGGTTCCTGCGAAGCAGCGCTTCTCTTGCAAAACCCAGGATCTGCATGCTGTTTTGGTGCAGGAACACAGGCCCGTCAATTTGTTCAAATGGCAAACCTGCAGCAGCAACAACATCTGACCCATCTTGCACCCACACTGAGCCATTCCAGAGTAATGATTCCTGTGAGATAATGCTTCGCTTGCAAAACCCAGCATCTGCATGTGGTTTTTGGGCGCATAAAAACTGTCCCGTCAATACGTCCAAAAGGCAAACCTGCAGCTTCGAACACGTCTGAAAAATCTTGCACCCACACTGAGCCCTTCCACCAATAGCCGAGATTAGGATCGGGAACAGTATCGTCTTCGAAGCCGCTGACCTGGGTCCAATCGTGCACGATGCTGTGGACATGACTCAAATCCGAATGTCTGCATCAGCCATACAAAGCACTCAGAAGGAAACCACAGGCACCCATCTATCAAATGTCTGCATTTGTCAGCCAGGATATTGTGGAGGATCATCATCACCCCATACACATGCATGGTCGGGCTCAAACAAGTTGATCTTCGTTTGTCAACAATTTGTCTGCAAGTCCTACCAACCGTCTGCTGTTCCCAGCACGTAGAACGCAAATCACTTGTCTTTGTCAGCAATCTCCAACGGCGGTTGCTTACCACTGCTTCCAGTTTCGATTCTCTGGGAAACCCCGGAGATTGTTTGACGTCACCCATTTGTATGTAGCCGCTTCGAGGATAGCTGCCCATTGTCTGCATCCGTCTTGTCCACCAAGCTGAACATAGTCCACAAAAAAACAAACACGGCCCCGCTCACCACGGGATATCCGGTTCCACGGGGTTTACCCTACGCACTTCCACGCTGCTATCTTGAAGAGGTCATTCGGCAAGAACCCGGCAGTCCGATGCGGTTGTCCCCGGCAAATGAACCAAGGATGGCCCCTGCGAAAAGGGACCTTCAGGTCCAGCATTTGTACACCCGTCACCAAGAATGCTGCTCTCCGCTTCCACGTCCTGAAAAAGGAGAAGCCTCATCATCTGAAATGGCATTTTATCAAACATATCACTCACCCCATCTTGACCGAGGTGTTGGTTGTTAACGCAAGCTGGACAAAGATGTCAAAAACTGGCGTGAAGCACGCTGCTGTAGGTACATACCAACGTTGTGGAACAGGCGCTGCAATCGACGCAAGTTCGAAATGTGCCAAATAAATCGGCGCCAGTTGTACACCGCGGCCGCGTTCACACGCGACAGCCAGGAGCCCATGCAAAAAGCAATCGGCAATCAACAAAATTACCGAAAGCACCCACCCACCCACCCTAGGGCCAAATGTTGCACACTCAAGTTTTCAAGATCAAGCTGTTGTTTGCACAAACGTGTGTGTTTGTGAAATACCTATTTCACAAACAGGAGGGGGGGGGTTGGCTCCTTCCCTAAAGCGTTATCAAGTTTTGACAACTTGCCGACCTGGTCTGAAAAATCACCTGCAAGAGCATCGAAACCAAGCAACTTGTGATTGCACATCATGACATGAAATTCCTGCTCCAGACACATCATCAAGTCAAAGAGGGGCATACTTGCCGGTACACGGTGTTCGGAGCATCGCGGGTTGGCAGGCCCTGCCAACCAAATGGAAACCATCTGATCCTTGGTCTGGTCCTTAAGCGCGAGAGGTCCATCGCAAAGAGGGCTATGCTTTTCGATCCGACCGATTGCTTGCGCGCACACTGCGCGCCTGCTTCCATGCCATCTGCTGTGAAAGAGCGAAGGAAACGGACAATGCAGCTTGCTTCTCAGAATGGCCCAGAAACTTCATTTTCGAAAGTTCCTGTTGTTCCTCCAATGGCTGAGATCGAGCACATAATGGAGGCGTTGGCCAATATCCCGTGATGTGTCCCACAGTCGTGGAGCCACAAATTGCATGATGGAAATGTAACTCCAAGCACCTGGTAGAAACCAAGCGAAGTTGTAAGCGCCAGCGTCCTAAAACAAAGTGAAATGCGTCTCCAACGCAGTGCAAAGGCCAAGAAATCACTGAGCCATGGCGCCGGCGCCCCGCGGGGAATTGACAGGTCTGGGGGCCCAATCGACTTGAACCCACCACTTGATCCAATGTTGCGGATCAAACAAGAAGTGAACAATTGGCAACAACCGGCCCTAACTTTTGCAACTCAAAAGTTGTTTCCAACTTTTTCAAATAAGGTGTTCATCCCGATAAATCGGGAGTAGCACACTTATTTTCTTTAGTCGGAAACCCGGACCGGTAAGATCCTTTTTATAGAAAAGGTCAAGCCAAGTCAAAACACCTATTATATATATCCGTCCAGAGTCTAATGAAATACAAAAGTCAAAACTCATACAGATATAAAACTTGATATGATATGTCGCATCTTTTCCAGCGCAATGGGGCGTAGTCTGCATTGGTCCCGAGCTCTCCCCCATTTAAGGAAAACGACCAATGCTCTCTTCGCCCAAAGCCTCTGCTACCTCAGTCCATCTGAATTCTGTCTCCACAGCTCCCAATGCTTCGACTTGATCGAAGCAAAGCCTGCTGGGAGCATCGGCGATGTTTGAGCTAGTCGGTACTCTGGCGTACCAAGCTTTGCACTGACATTCCATTTCAAGATGCGACACACTTGCCATCAGAGACCTGGCGTGACGGGTCGCTCCCGAGGCTTGGATGCATGCCGATCTGGCAGCGTCATTGTCAATGTAAAACACCACTGATGCGCCCGTGAAACGCTGCCTCCAATACGCAAAAGCGATCAAGACTGGGATGATTTCCAGTCCATAAATGAGAAAAGGACAAAAGGCGTGCCATGATATCTGCAGGAGCTTCACCTCCGAAAAAGGAAACGCATTTCCCATCAGGAGCAAAAAGGACACCCCCAACACTTCCCATTCTCTGTTCAGCTCCTTCACAAGCACCGTCTGTAAACACAGTCCAAGAGCTCAGAGATGTAGGCAAAAGGTTGAGGGAGCGAGCATTGCCCACACGCTCCATGAGAAAAGTGAGAGCAAGCCTCTCGGACGCGCTCAGAACATTCCTTTTGTTTTCCTTCACTGCAAGGTTGCCCAGAACTTTGATAGCATTATTCGCTATCCTTCCAAAAGCGAAGCTCTCGAACCAATGCAAACGTCCCCGCAAAGATTCTGACTGCTTCGAGCTGACGTAACCGCAGTCGAGGATGTCCTTAAGGACCTCTTGCAACTCCAAGCGTCGTTCACAAGTGTGGCCAAGTGAAATCTGACCCCTCGAGAAAAGGTCCAAATCGACTTCAACTCCCAGAGTGCGGAAAACTGTCGAGAAGGCGCATGCTTTTGAACCATCCCGAGCAAATTCCAAACCTAGAAGCTGAAAAGACCTTCGGCCGCTGCAGTAGCGTTGGTCGCCATGGACTGTTTAGCGAATATGGTGTAGTCATCGAAATAAGCACACCAAGCCAGCCGTAATTGCCGTAATCCTACCATGCCGAGAAACCACACAGCCATGCTGATCCTCAGGAAACCTCCCACAGATCCTACGGCTCCAAAAGGCAAGGAGTTAATCCCCAAAAAGCTCCCTGACTGCAATACGCAACAGATCACGATCTGAAAGACTGACACCAAATTGCTTGTAAGCCGCCTTCAAGTCAAACGTCCTGCCCAGCAATTGGAAACTCGAACCATGCAAATCCTGACAGCGGGCCTGACAGCGGGTAAGCATCCACGCGAGATACGCTGAGATCTCATCCATAGCATGTATGCGATACTTCTCAACCACCCCGATGGTCTTGTTCAAGCCGCCCACAGTGCAGTCATCTATGACCCTCACCTTATTCTTCTGGTTCAAGCCAAAACGTTTTGCCAGAGCATGTTTGAAGGGGTCAGCGTCGTCGTCCAACCAAACATAGCCTTTCTCAATCTCCTCGAGAGACGCCATGCCTGTTGATTGGTCGCGTCCTGATCATCTGCATTTTCCAGCTGGGCCAGAATGCTCGCACTCAGACCCTTGGCTAAAACTCGCAAAGTGTCCACGCTATATTGCGGCCTCTTCGCTGCGCGCGGGAAGACCCCCGAAGGTTCCAACCAGCCTGACAGCGGGAAACCAGCAGCGAGATCGCGGGTAAGATGCTTGTCAGGGTACCCCAAATCATCAAGCATTTCTTGGAAAACAAGCAGCCTCTTTCCTTGCAACAGGCTGCACTGATGTCCAGGCATGGTCTTTTTGAGGTTCTGCTCCTCGACGCCGAGTTCCTTGGCTCTCTTGGTCCACCTGCACAGGTAGGCCACCCTTTTCTTGGCCAGAGCAAAGTCCTCGTCTGAAACGTTCTCTTCCAGCACTCGAACCACTTCTGTGGGCAGATGGACCGCAAAAGACCTTGGGTGTCCGGCTTGTACTGCTTGTTCAACAAAGTCCAACGGTTTCCTGGGAATGCCCACATGATGCAACTCCACCGTATCCTCATCCTTCAAGTCGCGAAGGCTTTCACGAATCAACTTGCTTTGCTTTATAGTCGGGTCGGCCCGAATTTCACCCCACTTCAAAGCTCGCCGCCCGACTGCTTTAGCTCCGGAAGGAAGCTGCCAGTGCTGCTCAGCGATGTTGAGGGGTTCATCCATGAAAAGCACAATGCGTTGGTAGCAGCCGTATTCCGAAACCAAAGGTTTGTACTTGCGCCCTCTCGGTAACATGTCCAAAACCATGCGATGCAAAGGTTGATCAGAAACAACCTGCTGTTCTGACAAAGATTGTACATCCACGGCTCCGAAAAGCGATAGCTTGTCCTTGGACAAGATACCTGCGAGTCTCTGACACAGAAGAATAGGGTAAGCTGCCTCTTCTGCAGTGGGATATGTCAATTGGCCATTGATAACCGAAGGCTTCCATGGCTCGTGAGGATGACCATCATCACAGAAAACAGCCAGTGATTAAAACCAACTCCTGGTGAACCACCAGCGAGTTGTCTTCTTCCTGTTGCCTCCATGACAGCAGTTATCAAAACAAGCGTCATAGCCACGCAGGTCATCAAGCATACGGCGAATGCAAGGCACAATCCAAAACAAAGAGTTCATGGGGTTCTCAATGGAGCACGCGATGGCCCGGCTGGACGCCCAACCCTTCCGGATGAGCCAAGCTCCTAAGTGGCTTGGCCACTCTGAAACCCTTGGCCTCCAGGCCTGGGAGTGGCCTCTCTCTAGCTCGGGACGCTGTTCCGCAAGCCGGGGCAAAGTGAATCCAGGCCAGGTTGTCCTCCTCCTGCTGCAAGAATTCAATCAAGCCATTCACCTGAGCGTCCACTGCCAAATCAAAGTTGGCAATGTGAATGCCGCGCGCCCGTTCTGCAGAGTGGTCCACCGCCAATACTCTCATGTTCAAATCCCGTTTCATGCCCAGTGTCCGACGCCATCGGACACTGCATCATTCCACACTTCGCGTGCTGGTAGCACGGGGTTGATATATAATTATACCACCCTGCGCTACGAAGGCCCCGAATGACCCTTAGCAACTCAAGGGAGGGCGTGTTGTGAAAGTACAACACCCCTGCGTTACGAATTCGTGTAACACCTACTCCTAAGAAAACATGTTTGAAGGACCTGTCACGGGCAACATCCCGGAGGTCCTGGACAACGGAGAGGTGACTGACGGCACGCACGTCACAGCAGGACAGCTGGCTACGCCCAAGTAACTGACCTGGTGGTGAACACGGCAGCCTCCGGCAACAACGCGGCTGCCATCCAGTCCCTGGACGACCGAGTCACCGCCGAGCTGGCCTCAAAGCTGGACAGCAGCGCGCTGGCGCCGGCAATTGCGCCCCTAGCAACGGCGGCGGCCCTGGCCACCACGGACGGACAGGTGGCCGCGCACGGAAGCTGCAGAGCTCGCT